ACTCATGCAAATTAGGCAATTGGACATAAACATTGCCACGTGTGAGTGTTTTTATTTTAACCAGAAAATAAACAGCAATTTTAACGGTGTTCCAATAAGAATTCATTGGTCAAATTTTCACAGAATGTTCTTTAGATAAAAATCTATATAAAAAACGAATAAAAATATTTTGGATTGAAATTCACAAATAAACTGCATCTCTACCTTAACTTAAACAACAAATTTGACACACATGTAAATACAAACATTTCAAATATAAGCTATAGGACATATTTGTTACATTGCTGATTTTTATAAATGCTACTTTGGCATTGGGGCACTTTTTAAGAGTCACTTTTTATTTAAATACCTGGAAAAAAATACAATTCTACTTACTAATACTGGTTTCAGAGTTTCAGAGCAAACTGTTAATGTGAGTAAATAAATATGTATACCAGATGCATTAAATTATCAACATTAAGACATAATGGATGCAAGTTGAGGATTATGAAGATGAAACCTACATGTAAAATAAATCTCTTTTTTAAGCGACATGTGGTTAAATATGCATTGACAGCAAGGGTAGTGCAATATTTAACTTCAAGTTTTAATACATGTATCATTATTAGGGTTGCAAGAGTTAAACTAGAAAAGATTTGATTTCCTGTAAATAACAAAAATTAGAAATTAGTCGTTTACAGTATGTCAACAGTAAGTCTCTAATTTGTATGTGATAGTCATGCAGTTTTTGTTTCAGTTTCATTTTTCTTCTAATACTTATTAGCTGCAAATAGCAAGGTCTAATTGTGATTGTTGTGGTATGTTTTGTTATAAGGTTGGCAGAGGGTAATGGAGAGCATAGACGCTGCTATTGATCATGGTTATAAACCTGTCAAAGTCAACTGTGTTGTCATGAGGGGATTCAATGAAGACGAGATTGTAGATTTTGTGGATTTTACAAAAAATAAGGTAATAAACTCAATTGATTATGATTAATGGTAGTTTACAGTACTGGGAGTTTGCAGAGGTACATGTATTCATTGTAAATGCTAACAAGAGCTGATGCATACTGAAAAGCTATTCGCATACTATCATGCAAACCCTTCAACAATTTCCAAGATCCTTGCACTAGGTGGTTGATTGTTGTTGTCCATCAACAATTCTACTTTTGACTACTTCTTGAAAACTACCAGCTCAGTTATCTTGATACTTGTATGGTTTGTAAAAAGAAGATAACAATTGTAATTGCCATAGCAACAACTATGTATACGACCATATCGTATAGAATATTTGTCAACTTCAAGGGATGATTTACCCGGTAGTTTAATGTTATCATGCCTTGATGGAGAATGCATGCAATTTATGGTGGGAATTAATAAGGAATGAAAATTATTGTTTAAATAATGTGATATTAAAATAAAATGGAAATAGGAAGGACTAACAAGCTTCATAACAGTATGCCTTGGCTATTTAAAAAAATACAAAAAAACAAGGGGGTTACATTTCTGTAATTTTTTTTAGAATTTTTGATTTTACAGTTGATACACATTATGGATTTGTTTGTTTTTGTCTGTAAATGTTTTTTGTTCTTTCTTTACCATACAGTACCCTCAGATAGTATTAAAGTTATTATTAATATTAATAATGCTTCAGATAAACTACTTTAAGCTGAGAGAGACAAATATTAGTGAGTCAGTGAAATTTTGCAATATTGAGTTACAGTATTAAATATTGCTATGACAAATTCTTTCATATTATTATTAAAAGATTACTTATAATGGTTTATATTCCTATAATACACTGACAAGTACTTATAAATACTATTTAACACTGATCAAAAATTTGTTTTCCTTCTTTTAGTCAGTTGATGTACGTTTTATTGAGTACATGCCTTTTGATGGCAATAAATGGAACGCACACAAGATGGTTCCTTTCCAAGAGATGGTCAGCACTATAAGACACAAGTACCCAGATTTTGAGAAGGTACCTGATGAAGTTAATAACACATCCAAGGTAATTTGGAGAGATAAAAACTGCCTAGATAACACATTTTATTACAATCATGACATATTTTTGACTCCCGTGTGCGAAGCACAAAAGGGAGTCTTTGCAGTTACCCTGTCTGTATGTCTGTATGTATGTATGTATGTCACTTTTTTTGCTCCACCGTTATCTCAAGAACCACTAATCAAATTTTGGTGAAACTTGGTAAATAGATACTCTGGGATAATGCGCAGAGTTGATTAGGTTTTGGTAAAAATTTATGAATATTAATTACCTAATTTGCATGATAATTAGCTGATTTTTAGCTGTTTCAAGACTGTTCCACTGATATCTGAAGAACCATTAATTGGATTTTGATGAAATTTGGCACATGGATGCTCTGAACTAGTGTGCAGATTTGATAGTTTTGGGTAAAAATCTATGATATTAAT